CTTCAACACAACAACCTTACTTGCACAGTAGCATAGAAGATTGCCCTTGTAATAGAAACTAACTTATTTGCCAATACATTAAGCAAAGTTACAAGATACCCATTATGTGGGATATTATGTACCCATTAAACTCATGTAACACAGCTGAGAGAACTGAGGCTGGCGCCATGGAGGATTGCTCAAGAGAGCAGAGGGCCAGACTGAGTGTAACCATATGGCTTTATAGGAGGCAGCTCTTCTGATCAATAGCCATGTGCTGTTTGCAGGACATGGATAGAGTTTAAAGCTTAACTGAATATAATGTAACTTCTTATCTTTCTCCAAATGTGATCACTGTTTAAGATGGTCATCTGTTACATCTGTTACAGCAGGTAAACAAGTCAGATATACCAGTTGAATGGCAACAGTGTTGTGAATATAAAGGTCTGTGCTTGGAAGCCATGCATGGTGGTGCTTGCTTGTAATCCTAGCACTTACGAGGCAGAGGAGGGAGGATTACCACAAGTCTGTTGTTCGTTTGGTGTACATAATGAGCTACAGGCTATGCAGGGCTACAGCGTGTAACTTGAGGTGGGGGGCAAGCACTAACTTTTCGGCTGATGGGTACAGTTCAGCTAGATAATACTTGCACACTATGCTCAAGGCCTTGGATTGCATTTCCAGCACTGAAAAATACAATATAAAAGTAATTTTTAAAAAAGATAAAGCCAGCACTCATTAGATTGTTCGAGTCACGCATTGTGTTGGCAAGCATTTAGCATTGATGGCAAATGAGTAGCCACTCCAGACCTTAAAATTTTCTCATTGTCTTACTTGAAAAGTGAAATAAGTGATAGTGCTATCAGTTCAAATGAAGGCCAAAGGGCTTAATAGTGAATAGTAATTCGAATGGCACTTGATGTGCAGTAAACATTTACACACCATACAATATATATTTGCTCAATTAAGTGCAAATATGTATTGAGTAAGACAGAAGCATGTGTCCATCTCTGTGTGTGTATGAGCATGTGTGTGAGTTTGTTAATGTTAATAATGTAGCTGTGAACCACACGAGGATGTTATTTTGGTCAATTGTATTGGCTGGTTTTCTGTGTCAACTTGACACAAGCTAGAGTCATCAGAGAGGAAGATGCTTCCATGAAATCCAGCTGTAAGGTATTTTCTCAATTGGTGATCTGTGGGGGAGGGCCCAGCCCACTGTGGGTGGTGCTATCCCGGGGCTGGTGGTCCTGAGTTCTATAAGAAATCAGATTGAGCAAGCCATGTGAAGCAGCACCCGTCCATGGCCTTTGCATCAGCTCCTGCCTCCAAGTTCCAGTCCTGCTTGAGTTCCTGTCCTGACTTCCTCTAATGACAGACTATGATCTGGAAGTGTAAGTCAAATAAACCCTGTCCTCCCCAACATGCTTTTTGGTCATGATGTTTCATAACTGCAATAGACACCCTAAATAAGACATCGATCATACACAGTATGTAAACAGTGTTCCCATGAGATGATGTTTCCCAGTGACATTATAGACCTCTTCTTCATAACACACTATGATGTTCACACAATGACAAAATCACTTGATGACTCAATGTCATCTCAGGACATTTCTCCTCCACCAAGCATTACATGCTAGGGATATTGGTAAGTTCCAGTACTCAGAATGTCCCAGTCTAGTAAGGTGTGATTTTAGAACCGTGCAGAGTAAGCCAGACACCTTCTTTTCATTTTAATTCATTGTATGCTGCTTCATTATTTCATTTTAAAAGTCTAATTAGAGTTCAATATAATGTATGCCTATTAAGTTCTGTGACTCTTGCTTGAGACTCAGGATGGAGATTATTAGAATTTTGTTTGAGCTTGAACAATATGAAAACAAAAATGAACAGAAGTGTGTCTTGCCCTTGCTTCCCCTTTTTAATGCTGAGTATGAACCTAGGCATGTGAGGCAAATGCTCTCCCACTGAGCTTTATGCCAGTCCAGGAAAGCCAATTTTGATATAGAAAATCACTTTTAGCAACTATCAATATTGAAGAGGCGACTATGCTTACAAAGTGTAGTGGGAAGATTTTTATCCACAAATTGTTTTACTTTTATTTATATGTGTCCATGTGTGCATGTACGCACAGATGCTGGCAGAGACCAGAAGATGCTATAAGATACCCCAGAGTTGGAGTTAGAGCTGGTTGTGAACCAACCAACACAGGTGCTAGGGACTGAACTTGGGTCCTCTGCCACAGTAGTGTATGCTCCTAACTCCTAACCAATTTCTCCAGGCCCTACAAAAACAAAAAAGTTAATTATAATTAACTTTAATCCTTGCTCTCCTTAAAATGGGAGGTCCTGGGTAGACAAAATATTTAGAGAAGTAAATTTTGTATCCAAGGACTGTGACAAACTGGCTGTCAAAGGCAGATGAGATCAGAGGTAGCCTAGAGCTGGTCCATCTGTTTTGATGCTGGAGGCAAGCCCAGGGAAGGGAAAGCAATGGGATGGAGTAAAGGGGACCGGGGCAGCATCTACAAACCACTCCCACGGGCATAGACAGGAGCTCCTTTGAAGTCTGCTTGGGGCTGTACTTGAGAGCTGAAGGGGAAGATGAATAATTGAACTCTTAAGTTCATTGTTCAGTGTCCTTCCACGAGGCCCTAGCCTCTTAGTCCACCAGGTGCCCTGGCAGAGCTCACAGGACCACTAGCTGACTTTAAGATAGGTGCTCAGGTCAGGAGTGCCTGCCTCAACATGTTAATTGCATTAGCTCAGGACGCTGTAGATCTAGAAAACAAGCATAGAGATGCCCGCTTATCAGTCCCTTAGCAACAGTTGCTGTTGACTCAAGCTTACTGCTTGCCAGCTGCTGCCCTACATGTGCACTTTACCTGAATTGAGTCATTTAGCATCTAGTCATCTAATCACAGAACTGTGATGTAGAGACCAGTGGCTACCGGGAACTGGGAAAAGATAGAAGGACCCAATTCACTTGCAAACAAACAAAAAGTGAAAAGGGGAAAACACAGTCGCTATGTAGTGATATTTTAGGATAAGTGTGGTGTGGTGTGTGTGTGTGTGTGTGTGTGTGTGTAAATGCATATGCACATGAGCACAGTGTTCTAGGAGGCCAGAAGAGGCTGTTGGATGGAGCTAGAGGTACAGGAAATTATAAGGCTCTCAACAAGTGTGCTGGGAATGGAATTCACCTCGGGTCTCCACTAGAGTGTGCATACTTTAACCACTGAGTTATCTCTCCAGTCCCCTAGACTTTTAATAATACAGTAGATCATGCTACCACTAATAGTTTGATGACAGGATAATAAAGCAGACAATCTCTCTTGCCACAGATCATTACTAAGCTATGCAGGCATCTGGTGAAACCACAGTTACACAAAGCAAGCTTGATAAGGCTGCTTGGTCTCTTTCTGTTTGTACAGCATCGATAGGACTGGTTTTCTGAGAGTGGGGGGAGATGAGTGATCAGAAAACTGTGTTTTTGTTAGGAGCTTCATGGACCCATTCACGCTGGTGAGGGTCCCATGGCAGGAGAGTGGGTAAAGTCATTGAGAAGTGAATCACATATCGGCTTGCAGAGACAGGGGGAAAAAAAAAGAGCAAAGGCATTAAAACCATTTGATATATTATTTTTCATCAGATTGATAAAACCTGCATAATGCAGCAAGATTAAGTTCTTGGTGCACCTCTAAGGAAAACTTTTCCATCGCCTGCCAAGGCAGGAGGTGCAACGTGTGGGCTTTCAAAGATTAATAAAGAAGAGACTGGAAAAGCCTGTAACAAGCTCATTTCTCTTTTAAAAGACTAATAACCTCAAAGAAAACATACAAAAGATATTTAGCACACATTTTTAGTAGGGAAGACGCAGAAATTATTTCAGTACCCATCATGAAGAAAAAGAAGAGATATTATATAGTTTATTCAATGATCTATCATAGGGGAGCTTCATCTGTGCACAGTCCTGTGCTAGAGCTCAAAATACAAATGAACATGGTAATAGATACAGGAGAATAGCATTGACTTAAGATGTAGGTATTGTCTATGGATGCTTATGTGCATATATTCACAATACAGTGTCTGTAAATATGACAATCTACAGTTGGTTTGGTTTAATGCTGTTTGTATTCTAATGTTAATTTGGATCCCCCAAAACTATTTGTACAAGAAAATCCACAGATAAGACACTGAGGGTCCCTTATCCCAGTTAATCCTGATTGTCAAATAAAGATGCCAGCAGCCAATAGATGGGGAGAAGAGACATAGGTAGGGTTTAGCTTTCCTGGGCTTGGAATCATGAGGAAGGGGCAGAAGGGGAAGAGCTACCATACCTTAGAAGAGTGCAGGATAGGAGAAAGGAGCCACCAGAAAACATGGCAATGTGGGCTGGTCATTTGGAGCAAGTACCAGCTCAGTTGAAACAGTAAGTAATAATGGGGTTATGGATGGAAAGTAGACTCTATCAGCATGGAGGGTAGGCAGTGGCCCAGGTATTGTGCTGCAAAAAGCATATTAAAATATAAAGGCTGTGTATGTGTCTTTCATGTGGGAACATAAATGTTCTAAGGTATGAAGGAACCCAGCTCTGGGATTATTTAATATTTCAACAACAGCAGTCTACTGAGATGATTTACACTGAGTTCTTGACAGTGTGAGAGGGAGAACCTCCAGTGTAGGGGCCAGAAAGTAATCTGATTATCTCTTCTGAGTATTCTTATATAGCTCAGGCTAGCCTGGCACTATATAGCTCAAGCTGACCTGGAACTTGTGGTCCATTCCTCCTGTTTCAGTCTTCCAGGTACAGCTCTAGAGTGCTTTGATGTTAAAACCAAAATGGCTCCGGGAGCCAACTTCTAGGAATCAGGACAAACAGTTTTCAATTTGTAAAATGAGGACCCATATTATCCCTGCCAAAAGGGACTGGAAACCAAATAGAAACACATTTCACTGCCAGTGAAGATACATCAGCCATGTTGTATAGCAAGTACATGCAGGAAACTCTAGAACCTCAAGGCTTGAACATCTGACCAAGAACCACATGAGACTGGAAGAGGGTTGGGGGCCTTGGTGAGATGTTAACCCTTGCTTTTGCCTCAGCTGCTGCCTGGTGAGACCTGGAGAAGAGGTCCCAGCCAGCCAGGCCTGCATTCCCGACCCCTGGAGATGCTAGAATGTCAAGTGTGCATTCTATGAAGCCACTTTGTTTGTTATTGTGGTGTGAAAAATCACAAGAGTCAGAATGAAATTGCTCTGACAAGAAAACAAATAAAGCATAGGGGTTGTGATGTAGGGAGATTGGTATGCATGCACCTGATAACAGAAGATATGGTCAGCCTGACACTAGGGTAATTGCAAGTTTGTACAGATTGTACCTCTGCAAGGACATCTGTTTGACCTTGGGATGGTGCTACTCTTGCTGCTGATCTCGCTAGCAAGGAGAGTTGACTGAAAGAGCTTATGAAAGCTTCATTTACTTGTGAAACCTTTCCCTCACTCTGGATGCTGCATATGTTCATGGCTTACCAGACCATGGTATCATCAATGCGATGCTCTCTGTTTCCAAAGAAATTCAATGTGTGGAGGGTCCCCCATTGTATTCTAATCGACAGCAGTGACAGGAAACACACAGGTGATATCTGTTGTGTGTCAGTTACTGGGAATGTAGACCCATGGTGCCACTTTTGTCCCAGACATTCCGAGCATAGTAGAGGAGACAGAAATGTTAAAAGTCAGAGCTTTTAGAAAGTGATATGGAAGTAGGAGTCAGGGCACCAGGCTCGTTATCGTGGGATGGAGCAAACACAGAGCCTGTCCTGGGAGCCAAAGAACAACTCTTTGTGAGCAGACACAGAGAGAAGTGGGTAATGTCAGCTCTGCTCTTTTCTGTGGACTTGTTAGGTGGAGGATACAGGCCTGGCATCTCTGTGGCTGTGAATTCTTCGCCTCCTACCTGAACTAAATGAAGTCTATTGGCACCGGGAGAAAACAAGATCAGCAAACACGGAATCAGAGCTGAGAGGTGAGAAGACAGCTGGTCTTGGGGATGTTTGAGCCTTGGTTCCAACTGAGCATGGTACTGAGTCTCAATCCCCATCCTTCCTGGTGAACCAGGAATTCCCTAGCTATAAATTTGGGATCATTTCTAATCTAGGTTCTGATTTGAGTAATACAGAGTTAAATAAGTTTGCAGTGTACTATGCTGGCCACTACTAAACTGATTGTCCTCATAAACTGTGTACTCTGAACACTTCAAGGGTGGCCACCTGATTTTGGGTGGTCACTATGGAGTGCTGATACTTGTATGTCAAAAGATCATAGTGCAGAACACTCACTCATATTATTAAAGATAAAAAGAGTGTTGAGGTTGGTCCTCTGAGATGTCTGGCTTGCTGGTGAGCATGGCCACCCTGAATGGAAGCAAAGGCCTGGCATTTTCTTGAAATGGACAGCCTGAAGTGATGATGTATGCTAGACATAAAGAAGCACTGGGATTGCCACACACACTCCATTGCTGTGACTAGGAAATCACAGCCCCCGGGTCTCAGAACCTCAGACAGCAGCGATGCATAATCCCAAAGAAGCTCCACAGATCTCTAACACCTCACAGGTAGGTTCTCTCTTTTGGAAAGAGCGGGACCATGTGCCCTCAGTACCTCCAAAGAGATTCAGTCTTTAAGAAGGGACATGGAAAGAAGCCTAGACATTAGAACAAATTAGGTCATTTAGATCTGTGGGCAGTACCTGCCTGGACTTGGCCTTCCTCCTGCCCAGCTGGCTGGCAGATCTTGGAAATCTGCCTTGGCTGGACATGACATGCAGGTATTGGTCATTGTTGCTATTTTGCTGGTCACTGCTGGATGCAGCTGACACAGAATCAGATTCTGTGAAGGATGGCTCAAACTTGGCTTTGACTCTGGCCTTCAGGGGATGCTGTGGGTATTGGACATTCCTGGATCGTGGCTTTTTGTGTACAAATGTGGGCCTCTCAAGCTTGTCTTCAAAACTATTATCCCCAGATCTGTAGTAAACCCTTCGCTGGTATCTAGGGTCTTTGGTGTTATTTTCTGATCTGTCACCAGTATAAAAACAAGAAGACCGAGGGAGGTCAGTAAGGGAGCTAGCAGGGATTGACCACTGGACCAAATCTCTCCTCAGCATCTCCTCCTCTTCTTCGCTCAGCTGTGGAGAGCAAGGCTGGTGGGGAGCCCAGGACATGTACTGCTGTACATTCCTGGGGTACAGCTCTACAATGTCACCTAAAGCATCTATCTTGAAATGTCTTTCTGGCCAGAAAGCTGGGTGGATCTTTTTGTGAGAGTCACGTTCATTAACGACATAGTATCTGGGAGCACGGGGATTGCGGCCATGTGTCATCAAGGCAGAGACCCCAGATCCACAGAAAGGAGGACTGATTGGCTGAAAGTCTTTACGGGAAAGAGGCTCTGAGCGAACATCTTTGAGGGGCTGTGTCTGTGTCACAGACGAGCAGGATCTGTTCTTGTGGAGGTTGCCTGTGCTGGAACATGGCCCATGTGGATACCTGTAAGACAGAAGCGGTTAAGTTGCTATGGCCTCTGTATCCCTCTACATCTCCAGGAATTCTACAGTGTCTGTAGGTGATCTGTGGGCTGCATACATGGAAGCACTCAGGGAGCAGGACCATACTGAACATCTCAGAGCCCTGATATGATAAGGGGTGCCACTCGCCGTGGGGGTGCACATCAAGGCATGCCTCATTAGCATATGTCATCGCAGAGCACTGGTTCTGTTAGGAACATTTTATGGGACTAATGTTTGTGGAATGCATGTTACGAATACTGCTCTAGTGGGCTAACCTGCTCTTCAGCTTCTCAGGCACTCTCTGGAAGTCCACTTGGGGGAACTACAGCTGCTCAAGGGACCAGTGACTGTGCTTTGATCCTCGCCCCCAGTGACCTTCCAAGAATGACCTAGATCCCTCCCTACTTGTCAAGGTGCTCCAAGGATATGAAGACAACTGGCATAAAACAACTTCTCAAGTTCTATGATAATTTACAGAAAGGAAAAAGAAAAAATATATTTATCTCTATGGTGTCCACTGTACTACAAATGATGAACACAATTCTGTCTCCTTATTCTTCTGGGTGCTGTTTGAATAGTAAAGGAAGCTGGGTTCTCCTGCTTTCTGGAAGATGAAATTGAAGCATCTGACCCATAATAAATAAGACATTGAAGGTCTTGCCAATAACTTATCAGTCTGCATGTGAAGTGACTATTTACCATTCGGAGACCGAAAGTGGAATGAGGCCAGATAGAAAGATAGGGAAGCTCTGGGACCCAGGGAGAAGGAGCTCATCACCCCAGGGTATAGTGGAGCCTCCCACTAGCCACGAAGCAGGAATCCCAGCCTTCTCAACACTGGCTATGACGGTTGGGACATGGGGGCTCATACTCCTCTCACCCACAGATACTTTATGTGTAGTAAGGAACCAGGATTAAGCCTGAATGTATGTGACCTTGTGTAGAGTTTTATTCCTTCCCTCGACAAGGCCTGATTATCTCAGACAAGACTGTTCACTCTGTTTCCAGTGATGCCACCCTGACTTTCTGTGTCCCTGAGATCTATGTTTCTACCTTATACATTGTCATCCTGTCAGGTCTCATTTAAGTTTCTTAATAAACCTTTGCAAATAATAACTTCAACCTACCAAAGTCCTACATTGTGTTGTCCATGCAAACAAATGACAACAACAACAGCAACAACACAAAAACAATGAGCTGTGCCTGTTGAGCTCACCCGTGCTTTCTAGTGCGCCTTGGCGTTCCTTCCGAGCGTACCTCTCTTTCACTTAACCCTCCTGCTTAAGCCTGAATTAAAATGCCTTTACTAGCCTCAGCTCTACTATCTAAACTGGCTAGTTCTGAACTTCATCCCTGGATGGATCAGATCTAAGTCTGGCCTGAATCAGGTTGTTCAAAGTCTTGAGGAACTCCCCAGGCTACTGAGGATGTCCGTGGGGAGTTGTACCTTCTGCTTCTCAGTCCTAAAATGCTAACTTGGAACATGAACTGTTAAGCAACATCTTACTTTCCCAGGTTACAGAAATATGTATACTAGGCTGTGAGGAAGATGTACTTATAGATTATATGATAATGTAGTTTCAAAACTCTTGGCCTCCCCTCCCCGACACCACTTCCACATTCTCAGGTCCTGGGCACTCCCTGCTTTCTGACTCCTTCTGGCAGTCCTGGAATTTAATGGCCTCAGCTTCCTAATGGTTCCAGTCCACCACTGGCATTATATTTAAGAAGCCTTGTTTCTTTTTGTAGCAGAGTTCACCCTCACCTATTGATGTCCTGCTCTGGCCTTGACCTAGATCCATCTGGAAGAGGAGAGCAGAGGCCCCTGGACCCTTGTCCAGGACTCTGGGGCAGGGACCTTGTGATGGTCTCCATCCTGAGGCTCCTGTTACTCAGAGAGTCAAAGTTGAGCATGTTGCAATTGTTTTGGGATGTTGCCATGTACGCTGAGGACAGCTGGCTGATAAGGTCACTGTCCTTTAGAAGCCTCTTGCTGCTTTCTTCATGAGTCTGGATTCGAGCTGTGGGCAGAGGAAAGAGCACGTGACATGTCCAGGTTTACTGTGCTTTGAACCATAAAATCTGCACATGGCACATGCTAAGACTTGGTCTTATCTGGAACTTTGGGAAAAGATGGAGCCTTTAAGACTACAGTCTGGTGCTAAGTCCTCTGGTCATAGAGGTCATGTGCTCTAAGGGGATTGTGAGACTCCTTTCTGCTTCTAACTGTGAGGTGAACAGGTTTTCTTGGCACACTATCGCAGGGTGGTGTGCCCCTTCCTAAGCAATGGGCCAATGGAACATAGACTGAAACCCAAAACTGTGAGCCAAAACAAATTCTTCCATCCTTACAAGAATGGGATGTATTTATTATTACAACAGAACACTGGCTGTCACAGAGCTGATTTAGCTAAGGAACTTTGATAGCAACTGAGTTTACAGTCATCAGTTGCACCTACAAACGTAGTAGACTCTTGGCAATACACATTCGGCCATCTGAAACATGGTATCCAGGCAACTTAAGCAAGGAATGGAGAAGCCCAGTGTTGTACCCTGAGACTAAAGGATACAATCTGATACCCCCAAGGCAAGGAAGGCTGTTGGAGAAAGTGTGTGTAGATTCTGGTTGTGTGAGGGCATGGCTCTGCCTAGATAATACAGTACTGAATTGACAGTTCATCTCTAACAGTTACAATGGGTTTTATAGCACATGTCACCTGGTGACTCCTTCACATGGAATGTAACCCTTAGGTTTAATCCTTCTGGAAGAGAAGAGCTCTCTACCGGACAGTTCACTTTAAAATAGTTACAGGAGCTAGCTCATGGCAACGTTTGAGTCCATTTTCTGCCATTCTCTGGCAGGTAGTGTGGGCTGTGCCAGCTCAATGCTACCCACTGAGTATCAGTGCATCGACTCTCACCTGTTACTCCACCCCCAAATCTGGACTTCTAGCCATGCCAGATATCTGTTTCCCATACTCGCCTTCCTTCTTGGGGCATAGCTTGCTCTTCTCCTTAATGGGTCTGAGTTTGGAGTACTGGGGACAAGAAGTTATGACCTTGGAGAGTCTTTGGCATTGAATTTTCACTCAAATCTGCTTCAGTGGCTGAGCCTGCCTGCCTGGCATCACTAGGGACGGCTAGGGCAGTAGGTCAGAGAAGACAGAACTTAGGAATGTGGGAGCCTGGATAGAGACCTGTGGGGGTGGACTCACGTGGGAAGAGATGGATACCTGAGAGGACATACACAAAGTGATTAGACAAGCAGGTTCTTGAACATTTTCCATCTTACCACACTGAGTTTTCTCTCTTGTTTCAAAGCCCCCTTCTGATGACAGAGGTTTGGGGGTTAGTTATAGGCTTGCACATGGTTAAATCAAGGGCTTAGAGCAGTGGCTGGCCCTGGTTTTACTTCAGTGTACTCAATGACTTGTGAAAATCCAGCACTGGTTATGAGGCCCCCTTGGTAAATGCTTATCAACTTAGAGAGTAGAGACTCACCCTCTACCATTTGGGCAACCTTTTTCTTATCTTCAGATCTCGCCTGGAAAATAGAAATGGCAACCAGTTTACTTTAGGTTTAAGAGGAAGCAGTTACCATTTTACTTCGCAGAGAGAGAGAAAAAGACTTGAGTGCTATTATTCATACTTTGGGCATAATAGTACCACCGAGGACAGAATGCTCAGGTCATAGAAACTAGACCTATTATTTGAGTAGATAAACATACACATGGAAAAGCCAAGGTTTTGTGCCTGATAGGTTTCCTGTAAGGAAAATTAATTCATGCATGTATGAGACTCTGCCAAGGCAAATAGAGGTATCCTACAGCTGAAGGGGTTGGGACCTGGACAGTTTAATATTCTGGTTATTTTAGGGAATGAGACTCAAGTCTCAAATGAGAAACATTTTGCTTTACCTGTGTTGAGCACATTCAGCTTGGAGGTGATTTTATAGAATATTATTTTTGACAGTTTTTGTACACAAAAGAGTTTCATGTTGTGGAATTTTACACTCGGGCCTCAGGTTGACACTCCAGGACTTTCAGGTCCTGAAGCAATTCAGATATTTAGATCAGGGAAGCTCAGCCTGAAATGGTTTGAGTCACAAAGAAAATACAGATCGGGCACTAGAGAGAGGCCCATGGGCAAAATGCCCTGCAACTGGAAATGGATTCCTAACTTGACATTTCACAAAGCCAGGCTGTTGCCCCTTTACATAAATTTGTATGTATGGGAGCAGCTGTTTTCCTTTCCTTAGTGAAAAGGGTTCATGGCATTGTTCAATGATGGTGAGAGACAGAGGTGAGCAGGAGGCCTCACTTCAGGAAGCGTGACTTTCAGGATAGACATGACCCAGAGAGTTTGATACCTTGGATACCTCCCTGGCCTCCTCCTAACCCTGAGGGAGCAGATACAGAGAAGAAATAGAAGGTCTGGGAGTAACTGCCTCAATCTGGTTATTTTAGGAGAGGTGTGTATTCCATGTGGAAAGGAGTGTATGCCACACAAAATCTAAACAATAAGAAAGAGGAGAGAAGAGGGCTTGGGGTTCAAACAGTACTAGGGGCTCAAGGGTCAAAGTTGATCCAGGTTAGGGTGGCTCTTCACCAGACTATTAAAGCTACAGGGAAGCCTGGCACACTGGGAGCCTGATGAGGCCATGTAAAGACTGCTTAAGTGAGCAGGCTTGCTCCCAGCGAAAGCAAGCAACCACTGGGGATTAGAAATAATTTGAGGGGACTTGGTGGGTAGTCACTTTGTACCATAGTGCATATGTAGTATAACCTGAGGGTTAGAGCTGCTTTGGACTCTCATGCTGGAGAGGGTGCAGGTATATAGCCAGGGCTGACACTGGCATGGATAAGAGCTGAGTTCAGATGATACTTGCGTTTTGGATCTGCATCCTGAGTTGCTGGCTGCTGAGCTTCAGTGATCTCGCAATACTCTGAAGGTAGTAGATGAGCATGCTGGCACGGAAGGACATGGAATAGTAAGCGGGTTTCTTTAAACTGGTTCTTTAGCCTTCCAGCCCTGCCCAGGTAGCAACAGAAGTGAGGGTTTCTAGGATAGAAGTGTGCTACTCACTAACCTATGAATCTTGAACAGAAATACATGTGCTTTCTTTCTCATAGCCTGTGGCCACTGGGAAAGCACAACTTCATTTTTTTTTCTTTTGCTTTCCACACTTTGTTCAGATTCTGCACTTTGACAATAAATATAAGGTACCAAGACCAGCAGGCACCTTGTGGCCAATCAAGCTGTGGCTACTAGTTTCGCTTCTCTCTGAAAGACCTAATAAACATAAGCTACTCAGCTGAACTATGACATTTCAAAATTATCTATACTTCTGCAGAATACTATACTGGTATTAATAGTGTCCGGCCCTGTTAAGAGTGGTCACAGTAATCTACCAGATGATGTGGTTGACTCTATAGCTATGCAGCCATCCCTCCATGGCACAGTGGCTTGTGCTACTCTGAAGTGTGGCTCAGGATCAATGTTTGGATCATTAAACCTTGCTCTCTGAATGGACTAATTTTATTTAATTATTGGACATCCGTGTGATCAGGTGGCTACACACACAGCTGTCCTAGAAGGCTGAGAGGTGTGGCACCCTCTGGAGGCTGGGAGGAGCAGTGTTCCCTCAAGTCTGGGAGTTTTGACAGACCCTGGAGGCTGGGAGATGTGATGCCTCCTGCCAGCTGGGAGGTATAGCACTCACAACAGAAGCAGCACAGCTGGAAGTATCACCACGGGACTGCTGATATGTCCAACCACAGCGTGAAACCACGTGGGGAAGTCATTCTCTATCGTCTCTGACACGATGTCATAAATTTTCTCTTGTCCGCTGTGAGAAAGAAAAAGATAATCCAGATTGGACTGCCTTTGCCTAGGGAATGTTTTAAGATCTATCAAAAATGTTTGAGTGTCTAGAGGTGGATCTCCAAAAGCAGCTACATATATTTGGAGGCAAATCTCCAAATGACAAAGATGCCTAACATTCCTGAAGTTACGTGGAGTAGTGATCTAGTTACCCAGAAGGTCTGGAGGTGAAGTCACTGATGGAACTGTGAGGCACTGGCTTTTAGTGGGTAAATGAAGACACCTCCAATGCTTCCTGGGTCAAAACCAACTTAGGCAAAGATGAGAGTGGCAGTTGAGATTTCTGTATGGCCACAGCGAGATACTCCAGACAGAAAGCTGGCATGGACTGTCTTCAAATAAAGCCTGGCTTCAGCCACATAGGTGTCTGTACATCCATCTGCTCCTTTCCTCTCCTTTTCTTTTCTGCTTCCAAACCCTTCTTTAGATCCCCCCACTTGCGCTCTTTCAAACCCATGATCTATTTTTCATCAACTGACATTACATACATATATGAATATTGTATATGCATACGTATATTTCTAAATATATAACTATAACCTACTCAGTCTGTATATATTGTACGGAAGTATGTTTTCAGTTTTAAGACAGAGTCTTACTCAGCAGCTCAGGCTGACCTTAAACTATTGACAGTCCCCCTGCCTCAGCCTCCCAAATACTAGGATGATAGGGGTGATAAACCACACCATGCTCTGTTGATTGTTTTCTGTTATTTAAAAATATTGTATTGTATTATATTAATTTATCTGTTTGCTTGCTTACTCATTTCATTTTTCTGTGTGTGTTACCTGAAGGGGCCACAGTTCAGAGATGGCTTGTAGTGGACAATGGCAAAGATGGTCGGCAGCATGCAGAGGAACAACATGAACAAGAGCATTGCCAGGTAGAAGTTGTTGGATCTGCAGAAAGAGCAAGTATCATGCAGCAGCATTCATTCCAGAGGCTGAATGAGTGTGTCCACATAACCACCCAGAAGTAGCCACCACCTCTCTGGATGGAACTGTTCTCTTATTAGGGGCCTGGAGAGATGGCTCAGTCAGTAAAGCACTTGCTGCACGAGCAAGAGGCCCTGAGTTTGATCTCTGGGACCCGTGTCAAAAGGCTGGAGTGGGCAGCATACTTGAAATCCCAGCAACGGGGAGGCAGAGACAGGAGAGTCCCTGCAGCTTACTGGCCAGTCAGCCTGGCCAGGTCGGTAAAGCATAAGATAAGAGTAATTGAGAAAGATGCCTGATATCAACTTCTGGCCTCCACACATACGCACAAATGTATGCGCATGCACTTGCATATATACAGAGTAACACACACATGTACACACACACACTACACATATACACACATACACACACACACAAAAAACCCACACACGCACATGCGTGTCAGTGCTGTGTGTGAGGGGCCTGCACAGCTTAGAAACCTAGAAATCAGCTTTCAGAAAGAAGCTTCCATTCCAGCAAGTTCACTTTACAAATACTGGCTGGGCACTTATAAGCTGTGAACCAAGAAGGCAATGATCCTATCCCTGTGTACATGGCTTTTACTCAGTTAGCTCTACTCATAGAAATCTCAGAACTACCTTAGAACACAGTAGGGTCCTGACCTAATGCCTTCCTCTCCTCTGACAGCCTTGAGCATGCTTCTTAGGTCCCAGGAGGTGGAGGTCTATTGGTTGGGACTCTGAGCCGTCTGACATGGATCACATTTGCTCTTGTTTTGTTTATTTCTCTGTTCCTTGCTGCTCAGAGTGAATGTTCTATTGGGGTAAACCCTGGTGCCTCATCCTTGGGTCCCAGGGTGGTATCAAGGGCCTTTGCTGCCCAGGCTTCCCCAGTGGTGGCTCAGACAAATATAGCATGTGAGGCCCTGTGTGTAGTCCATGGGTCTACTGATGCTTAACTACGTTGTCTGTAGGTTTTCCCGTCTTTCTCCATTTCTGCTGAAAAAATACTTAACCAGAAGTCCCATGTGGAATTTGAGAGGCAAGTGCTAATGTTTGTACCTTCCACAGTTCACTCTGACACATGGTTGCTTTTGTGGGATATTTAAGAGGTAGTTTGGTCCATGAGGACTCCACTCACATAAGTGGAATTAGTACAGATATATAAATTCAGCTCATTCCACTTGCTCTCTTGGTCCTTGTGTTTCTAGAACACAGGAAGGCCTATTCTTTCCTCTAGAGGACTCAGCATTTGAGGAACATCTTAGAAGCAAAGCCTAGGTTTGTCTGGACTTTTAGCTTCAGAAAAGTGAGCCAAAACATGTATTTTGTAAACTGCCCAGGTTCAAGTATTCTGTTACAGCAGCTCAAAAGGAAATAACAAAGAAGGTATGTGACATTCCTCCCTGGCTCTATCCCTCCAAACTATATATTCATGAAAACCTACACATATGTATTATAAATATGTATAAATTAAATAATCACATGTAACTATATAAAGTCATACATATCTAAACACAAGCATGTGTGATCATCAGATAAAATATAAATAGATTACTATCCAGGTCATGTTAAAAATGTATGGAAGCCACTAATAGAGACAGTCAGACACACAGATAATTGCTGTGACAAAGCACTGTATCTGGGGTCTAATTGTGAGATTCAATTCTAATTGCATTCTGAATCCATGTGGGCAAATACAGGGAAGAATAAGTGTTGTCACAATTATAGAACAATTCTGTCTTTTAAGCAACTGTGAGAACTAATGCAAACCTGCCTGAAAACTCAGCATTAGACTTTGTGGTGTACCCCTGACAAAAGACACTTAGCAGAATGTTCAGGAATGTCAGCCCTAACAGTGAACAGCCGGAAGCAGCCATGATGGAGATAAAGAAATCAGAAGGCCAGTTGTATGTATTTCCTTAGTGACACAATGTTGAACGGAAAATAAGAGATCTGGGCACAAAGGAGCACATTCTGTGTGTCACATTTTACATAAGTGACAGAATCAGACAAGCCCAACTGGGTCTGTAAAAGGGGGGCTGTGAAGAAGGAGTAGGGTTGGGGGGTGTTCTGTCTTTATGTAAGTGCTTGGGTGTACCCTTGTGTGGAGTCTGTGAAAGGTAAAGTCTGATATTCCTAACATTTATTTTTCCAAATGATTATCAGACATCAGTAGAAACTTAGAAATTATGTGTCAAGAGCTCCGAAGGGGTGACAGCCGATCCCAAGGTGGAGGGGTGGGGGCATAGGCCATGACTTCATGGGGAAACCAAGCAGAGAAACTGGAGGGTTTTGGTAGATAGTGTGCTAGAAGGCCCCTTGTTGGAAGAGGCATGCTCAGAGGATACATGGTCTCTGCTCAAGGCAGAGACTACTGCTACCAACCTGGAAGCTCGAAACACTTGCTGGTGGGGTACATTGCAGGTCAGCACCGCCCAACTCCTCAGGTACATCAGCCCAATGAGCTTGAGAACATTGAATGCTGGCAGACACGGAGAGAAGAAGGCCCCCATCCTGAAATGGAAGGAGGTCAAGTCAGTCTCTGTGTGTACACATTCAGGGCTGCACAACAGGTGCCCCATGATGGAGCAAGGGTACGAGACATTACATGCACATCCTGTACTTCAAGAACTGAAAAAATCTTCTGAAGATACGAGACCCAGTCTCCACATTCCAGAGGAATGATAAGTCCCTGTAGGTGGGCGGTGGTGATGTGTTCATCTCTCTTCTCACTTAGGAAAAGGAAAGGCCTCCTCTGGGGAGAAGACACTGGAGAACTAGGTCCCAGAATGAACTGTAGATTTTGCAAGTCTAGGGCAAGAACTAAGCTAATAAGTTACTGAGTTTCAGACTGAATCAACAAAGGTCAAACGTCCCCAACTTTTGTTGGCTGTTGCTCTCCGACCCTTACACCTACTAGTCTACTTAATCGTCTGAAATTGTGAAAGAAAGGATCGATCACCAAGTAAGTAAATCGGGAGGGCAAACCTGGGCAAACTAATCAATTTGCTCAAACACATATTTCCCAGAGTGACCCTATGTCTAGATGTAGACACTTCTAAGAGCAGAATCAATGAGCTGAGAGTGCTCAGCTATCCCAGACTACATAGGATACCTAGCCACAGCACAAATGTCAGAGGCACAACAAAATCCACTTTAGTTTAAAATCAATTTGTATTGGATATGCAATTGAACCTATTCCTGTGGAATTCATATTTAGTGGCAGGAAGATGAAGTGTTTAATAAGTGTCTTAAGAACAATCCTTTGCTCTCTTATGGCAGACATGCCTCCCATGCCTCTCCTCATCATCTTCCACTGCATACAATGACTGCAATTACTTGAGTCACAGTAAAAAATTTAGCTCAGCATTCCAGGGATCTAGCACATATTAAATAAATAGTACATATGATTCCAAACATTTGATTTATACCACTGGGCTCCCTATGCAGTCTGTGACAGATGTTGGAGGTTGTATTTTCTGAATCTATAGAATATCCAAGCTTCCTCTCTTTCTTTGTCTGACAGTATTTGGACTTACAGCACCATTTGTGGTCCCATAGGTAAAGCAGGAGGTCCCCACCCACTACTGAGAAAAGAATGGCAAGATGACTCCTGCCAGTGCCCCAGTGCCCCTAAGAACAGGATCTGCTTCACCGGAGGTGCCCCAGTCAAAGGGTCTTGCCAGGATCCTGGGCACCCCTCAGGATGTGCCAGTTGTCCAGAAGAATAGGCCTCCATTTGGGCCTAGAGTCTACATAAAAGGAATGATGGGAAATGCCCAAGATGGGCCAGTCTCTCAGTGCTCCAGTGTAAGCTCAGACTTCCTGACACCTTGGCAAGAAGCAGTCCTCTGCTTGCTCACCCCCTTCCCAGATGAAGCATTCCACCACTTCCTATGCAGATGCTTTAGGGGCTGTGACCAAAAGTGGCTTAAAAAGGAGCCACTCCCTCTGACATTCCTTTCTGTAAAATCCTCAGGAAGTTACTACTAAAATCACTTCACCCAAGAATTAGTCACAGGGTTAGGATTAGGGGTTAGGGGTTAAGGGTTGGGGTTGGGGTTAGGGTTAGGGGTTAGGGGTTAGGGGTTAGGGGTTAGGGTTAGGGGTTAGGGGTTAGGGGTTAGGGGTTAGGGGTTAGGGTTAGGGGCTAGGGGTTAGGGGTTAGGGGTTAGGGGTTAGGGGTTAGGGTTAGGGTTGGGGTTAGGGTTAGGGGCTAGGGGTTAGGGGTTAGGGTTAGGGGCTAGGATTAGGGCTAGGGTCATCCAGATGATGCTTATGGCTGCGTGTATAGGGTCCATTTGAGTCAATTGAATCCTTAGCCCAGATGACATTAGAGAAGCCGGGAAGCAGGACTGACACATACCAAATCATGCCTTGATTGTAGACAAGGTGTAGTACATTCTCGGCAATCTTGAATTCTCCATATTCAGGCTGTCAGAAAAGATCATTTGGATTAAGAACTTAGTCATAAAGTCCTTTTGAACAGTAGTGCACTCTGTCCATTTGTACCAACTCCTTTGTGCTTGTAGATACTCATCGATCACTGTCTTGCTGGCTCTCCAGCTAATAGTCTAATCAAAACCTGGGGCAGGAGCTCAGTGGTGCTTGCCCCCTCCTTTTCTCTCATGAATCCCCTTTGTGTTATATCTGCCTCACTCCCTGGGCCATGCTTTTATGTAGATATCTCCTTGGACTGAAGCATTCCCTTCTGAAAGAGGGTCAGATGACTTAGGTAAGGCAAGACTTAGAGGCTCAAAAACTGTCCAAGGCTCAGAAGGGTCTCCCCTATGCTATGCAAGCAGTTCACAAGAAAAGGAAAGCCTCTTCAGTGGCACTGCCTGCAAGTTTTGCAGCAGGCTTTGCTGACATCACCCATACTGGTGTTGGCATTTTAGTGAAGTAGCTGCCCAAGTCACCCATGTATCTATAAGTAACCCTTTACTCAAGCTTTTGTAAGTATCTCCAGGAATCTTGTAGGCTCATTAATCTAGACTTGAATGGAATCACTTCTTAGGTCTGTTTTCCTCTATTTGAGATGAATACAAGTAGAATCCCCAGAAAATGCTATATGATACATGCCTGATTTGTCGACAAGCCAACAGGAAATGATAGATTTACTTCTAGAGCCTTCTCCAAGTGAAATACTGGGGGAAGTATTTTACTTACAAACTTGCTTTCAAGGTCCCAACACCAATAGTCACTTAGGTATCGAACAAAAAGTCCTCGGAAGAAGTCTATGAGGAGGATGCTGGCGACAGTGAAGAGCATGTCGATGACAGACAGCTTCAGCATCTCCTGCAATACATTGGGTTCTGCTGCAACCATGCCCTGCCCCCTCAATTCTCCCCACCTGTATTCTCCACAGTTTTCTTCCTGGTTCTCCCTGTTCCTGTCCCTTCAAAGAGCCAGAGCCAGGATCCCTCTAATGGTTTTCCTTCATATCTTTATAGGGAAGACGCTAAGGTCTGAGGTTCTGAAACACAAGCTTTTAACTAGATGTGCCCATGAGGTGATGACCTTTTACAAGGACTCTGCTTAGTTACTGCTCCACAGTGACTTTGGTCTGATCACTAGGATTAATTTTGAGTCCCAGAGCATAGAAAAATAAAATCTCCCTGGATTCCATATAGTTATCCTTGAAAAAGGGACAGTGATGCCCCAGAGAGTTCCCAGGGTGGGATGCTTTTTGAGACTTCTCAAAGGGGAGAGGGAAACACCTGGCCAACGTATGTCTCCCAGCACTGGCCCTGTGGGCCCTGCATGTAGGGCACTGTCTTGTTGGCCTTTGTGTGTGGTGTAATAGAAGTCAGAAAACTTGTCTCTTCCAAGCCCCAGGTGCTGGTGTTTCTCCTGAGCTCCACTCCAGGTGTGGGCCACTGCCCTTCTTCAAGCACTGTCCTGGTGGCATAGAAGGTGGGAGCATCTGTCCAGTGGCTTGTGAAGTTTTTAGTAGCAGCTTCCTGTTGAGAGGGAAAGGAGAAAAGAAAGGAAGGAAGGAGGGAGGAAAGAAGGAAAGAAGGAAAGAAGGAAAGAAAGAGAGAGAGAGAGGGGGAGGGAGGGAGAGAGGGAGAGAGAGAGAGAGAGAGAGAGAGAGAGAGAGAGAGAGAGAGAGAGAGA